AGCAAGTTCATCTCACAAAACTGAATGTCCACAAACTCAATGTTGACCTACTGTAAATTAAAGTATGTATTTTTTTTGGTGTTAAACTGTGTGCAACAAGAGTAGGCCTATTTTCCAGATAACAAGAACAATACTTCATTTATCATCCTGCTATTCCAGTCAGTCAGGCTGCTGAGTATCTGTACTAAATCTCTAATCTTAATGTATGTTAAAAAAAAAAAAAAAAATGTTTTTAAGCATGTGTTTTTGAAGCTTGGAGTTATATATAAAAAATAAAAAAAATCAGCAAAAACAGTCCTTTAGTAATTACTATTTGTGACCCTTGGTGCCAGACTTTTAAATATAAGAAATGACTTTGTAGTGAAAATACACTTTTGTCAAAGGCCGGGAATTCACAACAGAGATACATCATTCCACTTTTGTTGTGATGGTTTTCCTTTCACTTTGAGGAACTTTAACCAAATTTTTTTCTCCCCCCCCCCCCCCCCCCCCCCCCACACACACACACACATTTTTTTTTTTTTACAATGATGAATTTTAAGTATTGAAAGCAATTTAGCAGCATGTTAACTGTATTATTTGTTTTGTATGATTGGTTTTTTATTTATTATTATTATTTTAATCAAGTTGTTTATTTCCCTCCGTTTTTGTGTAGTCCACAAACTGTCGAAGAAAGAGCTTTTTCTTTGTCAGTCCATTGTCAGGAATGCCTGAAAAAAGCAGAATGGATCATCAGCAATGTAAGCAAAACGTACACATCACAGTCAGCTTAACAGAGCCCATTGTGTTTATTTAAACCTTTCGTTGCTGAAATGCATTTTTGAAATGAAATCTATTTAAAAGACACAAGGCGTTAGTATCATTTCTATGTGATTTTATAGGGAGGCCTCTCCATGGAAGCAGAGAAGTTCTTGGCCGTGGCTGCAGAGTCACTTGACAAGCTGAAAATGTGTGGCATGCAGCTACAAGAAATGCATATACCAAATGATGTTTTCAAAAAGTAAGACAAAACAGTTTTTTGCTAAGTGTACATGTATAAGTTTTAAGATATATATATATATTTTTCTTGCATAAAGACAACTCTTTGATACAGCATGATATTTGACTTTAAATAATAATTATTTTCTTTATTTGTTTGTCTCTACAGCATCATGACCTTGCAGCAATGGCATGCTAATATGCAACAAAATCTTAGGGAAGTCGGCTTGAACAGTGGGGTGCAGCAACTCTTTAACAGTGCCGTGGCCTGGATTGCACAGCAAAAGGTAAACTCGACTGAAGACACAAAACAACAAAGTCAAATAGCCAAACTCAGTATGACACTGCAACTGTGTGTTTTATTTGCAAAATGTAACTTCTCCATCTAGTTCCGAAGCTTTTTTACTGTAGCACTAAAAGACCGAACGTCTCAAACTAACATTTCTAGTTTTGCTTATCTCGGCTAATGTAGGCAACAAGAATTTGTCTGCAGCTGAAAGGACTCCAGTGCACACATCTTCACTTGATGTATTAAATGACAAGTTACCAGTAGTGATGCCAGCAGTCTGAAGAAGTCTTTCAGATGAAAGATGAAACGTTTCTACTTTTTTCTTTGTTTTGCTTCGTTTTGTTTTTTTGAATGTGCAGAGGACCAGACTTAACTTTTTTAGATTTTTCTACCTGGATTATTGAACATGCATCAGGATTGAAACAAAAGTGGAAGGTTAAGAAGTTGGTATTTCAGGAATTTTACAAACAATTGTTCAAAGAACAGACATACGGTAGTAGGAGGAAACAAAATCATTAAAGGCACTTTAAATGCTAAAGAAAAAGATCTAACAAAGTTAAGTCAGGTCCTCTGGATGGTTTCTTTTTGTTGAAACGTTTCGTCTTTCATCCAAAAGACTTCATCTGTCCGAGGAGCCGTAACAAACTCAGTCTTATAAATAGTGCATTCACATAGTGGGTCAACCAGTTTGATGGCGCTAAGATGGTTTTTGGAGTCTGCCTTCTCCCCCGCCGACTCGTCTGAGGCAGCCATGGCCAAAGTGATTCAAAACATCAAAGTTCATGCTCAATAATCCAGGTAAAATTAATCCAACAAAGTTAAGTCAGGTCCTCTGGATGGTTTCTTCTTGTTGAAACGTTTCAACAAAAAGAATGTTAAGAATTTATAGATTGTAAAGAAAAAAGATATAAAAAAATGTGATGTGTTACGCTCTCTTTCAAGACAGTTTGTGTGGAACAGGACAGTTAATTCAACATCTAGCATGTTCTATGATGGAGCAATGTAACTCTAAACAGGTTACCTTGATGCACACAAGGGAGCAGGTAAAATTGGGTACCCTTCTAAAGCTTGGTCTTGTGTGACACCCCTTTACATATGGGAAAAGAGATTGAGATAAAGTGCAATGTGCTCTAGGTGGAAAGCAAGATTGGGGGCTTGGGTGTGCCAGTTCCTGGCATTACAAACTGTTTTTGGAATGTGGACTATCTGGAGATTCCACCATTTTCCTGGGAAATTTAAAGGCAATGACAAAGTTATGTGGAGAGGTGTGACCAGAAGAAACAGCTTCCCTGATCTGAATCTAAGTAGCATTTTGTTGTTGAACTTCAATCCGAAACATGAGTTGTATATAAAGAACATTAAGTTTGGGTACGAGGCGGACCATAAATGCATTTGGAACATTTACGACCTTTAGGCCAAGGAGGCTCAAAGGTCAACAATTGATTTCATAATTGTATCATTAAATCTGCAGCACTATGTCTTGAATGCTTAAGTGAAAGAAGGGGACATTTTATCAGCTGGTGAAAATCTGGTAGTGAGTTGGGTCTGGTGAAATGGAAGACTACTGGACAGACCATGTAAACCCTAACAAATAAAGACTTTAGAATGTCTCACACCTCAGGGAAAAAAGAGGCATAGAAATAGCCCGAAGGCCCTTGGTGCACATCAAGGCGGCTGTTGGATAAAAAAAATATTGTCTATTTTTATCTTACTTACTCAAATAAGCCACACTCGATGACGGGAGAAGATTTTTAACCGGTTTTAATTGCAAGGATAGATTTTCTCAACAGGTTACATAGATATACAGAAGTATACACGCATGGAGCCCAGTCACAAGAATCTGCCACGGGCAGTGTGCAAGGCTTGTTTTTATATGCTTATCAGCTCTCTCAGCTCACAGACATGCAGTACTGGTGTCTTTGGACTGCTAGCTGCACATTCAGTATCCTGTCAGCTCCTCAATTCCCTAACAGCGGCCACCTGAAGATGGTGATGGAAACCATCCAGATAAAATAGGAGGCTTTTAGGGACTCCTGAAGCAGCTAACAGCTACAGACAAGAATGGTGATTGCAGCAACAGTGGTCATAGATGCTTACATTTGATGCAGGTGGTATTTGAGAAGTCCATAGAGAAAGACTTTTAGTTAGTCTCAAAAATGTTATAGGGAAATGGAGAAAAAATAAAGAAAACAGGGCTGTGCTTGCTTTGGGTGATCTGCTCACCCATGGACTGGGAAAATTAGCAAAAAGTGAAGTAAAGGATCACTTTAAATCAGACTGCATTTCCAAAAAAAGGTAGAGTTTGGGAACTCAAGGAAAGTAAAGTTCAATATATTCTGAGGAATAAATATAAAAATAAAAAAGTACCAGCAACATGATATCAGGAATAATACTGCTTAGACACAGTAGAGCTTTTGTGGTACTTTACACACCTCTTAAGTATCGCACAGAAAACTGAGGCGATGCATGGGGACTGGCAGGCCAGGGAAGTAGTCCCACTTCCCTGTGTGAAAAAGCGTGACTGAAGAGTGTGTTCCACCTCTCGGGATGATACTCTGTCTGTCTTGGACGGGTCCCTCTTGTAAATGAGTCCCCGTGGCTCAATGAGGCTAGCCTGTATAAATAAAGTTTGAAAAAAATAAACTTGTCAAACAAGTAGTCATAGTTAGGTTATTAATCAAGAGACTATTCTAACAACGTGAAAGCACATTCTGCACACCTTACATGACAGAGGAGGAAGAAGAACAACTTCAGAAACCTCACAGCTGGCTGATCGTAGACTTTGTCATTATTAAATACACTTAAATCATTGAACATCTGTCTCTTATATTCAGCCAAACTTGTAGATACTTCAGAAACAGTAACTTTGCTTTCATGAAATTTGTTAGTTTTCAAAAGAGCCCTAGCTGTCTAATGTAATTCCTCTGACAGACTTTGAATAATGTAAGCTTCAAACTGTTGAGCTAAGTGCTATACAGTAATCAGGGTTTATATAGCTTGCACATGTTGATGGATATGTTCACATAAAGACACTTTAATAAAATACAATATATAAAACGCAATAACAACAAAAAACCTCTTATGTTATTTTGCATCGTATAGCGTATCATTGAGACTGCTCCATGGGGAGATGACTCCAGCATCATAGATAACCACATTACAGCCCACAACAGGTTTCACATCTCCATCCAAAGAAGCCAAGAAGTAGACCGTGCCAAATACGAACTAGTAAGCTTTCATTTTTCTCATCAGTTGATTTAATCTTGCCCAAATGTAAGAAAAAAAAAATCCCTTCTTTGTAGACGTCAGTGAATAATAAGAATGAACTCTTCCTTCTGGACCAAGAGTGGATGAGCCTGCAGGTAGATCAATGCCCCTAAAAATCATGTTGTCAAAAGCAGCAGCTTATACATTATTATCAATGTTTCATTTGTATAATTTTGTATATTTTTTATCTTTCTACCTCTAATATTGCCACAGCAAATGTCCCACAATCGTTCAAATCAGCTCCGGGAGCTTCAGAACATCATTGATGACATCTTTCAAGCCATCATTTGGGTGAATGAAAGAGAGGAGGAGGAGCTTGTGTTTGACTGGGGAGACAAGAACATCGACCAGTACATCCCCAAGAAGCAGGAGAGCTACTCTGTGAGGATCTCTGACTGAGCTCTTTCTTAATTTACACCTAATGGTTGTTAACAGCGCGCGTCTTTGATTTGTGTTTATCCAACAGAGGCTGATGAGGGACCTGGAGGAGAAGGATAAGGACCTAAACAAACTGAAGGCGAAAGCAGGTGACCTCTTGAGAAACAACCATCCTGCTTCAGATAAGATTGAGGTAATGTACTGTGGAGTTCTGACTTTATCTAAAACAGCCTGTTTTCTTGGGTTTTGCATTGACTCTGTGCTCCCTCAGGCCTACATGGACACCCTGCAGACCCAGTGGAGCTGGCTTCTCCAGATCACCAAGTGCATTGAAGTCCATTTGAAGGAGAACGCTGCCTACAGCCAGGTTAGTGTCCCAATTTGATCTTTTGTCTGATTAAAATCCTGTATCTCTTCAGGTAAACTCACTCTTTTAATGTCTATTATCAGTTTTTCAAGGAGGCGAATGAAACTTATGCAAAGCTTCAGAAACAACATGAAACAATCAGAAACAAGTTTGTCTGTGACAAGAGCACGCCAATGGAAAACCTCACTGAACTCCTGAAAAACCTGGAGGTATAATTATTCACTATTACTGTCAGGTGCAGCACATACCTTTGTTTTGTTCCCTGCAGCTGTAAAGGTGCACAAGATAAACAAAATAAATCTGACAGATTAAAAAAATATTGCTTCAAGTTTTGTTACTCAAGGGCTTTGTTAAAAGTCTGCTGTCCTTTTTTTACTTTTTTTTTTTTTTTGAACAGACAGAAAAACAACGGATCATGGAAAACAAGAGACAGGTCCAGAGTCTGGTCAACAAGTCAAAGTCCATTGTCAGACTGAAACCTCGCAACCCCGAGGAGAAGACCAGCAGCCCTATCATGGTTCAGGCTTTATGTGACTTTAAACAGGACCAGGTGGGTCATGTGATTTCTTTCTTCTCAATCATACACACATGAACAGACAATGAGTATGAAGAGAAATGTCACAAGCGAAACTCAGTGGAGTATTTTGTGTGTTCAGAAGGGAATATTAAAAGGGAATGAGGGCATTCTGAAAGACAACTCGCAGCGCAGCAAGTGGCTTGTGACGGGACCTGGAGGTCTCGACATGTCCATTCCCTCCGTGTGCCTGCTCATCCCACCTCCAAACCCACTCGGCATCGGACTTGCCAACAAGTAAGGATCATTTGATGATCAAAATAAATACAGATCAAATATAATCTGAGAATGTCTAGTTTGAATGATTAGTTCAAACTACATAGTTAGTTCTAACTGTCTAGTTTGTTCTTGTGTGTGTGTGTGTGTGTGTGTGTGGTTTTCAGCATATATATTTTTTTAATCTAGTATTTACAATAGATACAAGCAATATACAGTATCTTGCCATTTATTGTGTGACCACTAAATGTGAGTTTTTTCTTGAGCAGTGAATCTTGTGTTCCATTTTCAGAAATGAACAGTATCATGAAGCTATCCTGGGAATCTGGAATGAGCTCTACATCAACATCAAATGTCTCATCTCATGGCAGTATTGCCTTAAAGACCTCAATAACATCAACTCCCTCAACATCAGTAAGGTATGAGGTCACAAATGACCTTCCTAAATCCTTAAAAAACATGTTTTTCTCTTTCTAATGTTCACCTGGAACACTTTCTGTTGTCGGCAGCTTTCTAACATGCGTCCTGATGAGTATCGTAGTATCATCAAAAGACTGGAGACTCACTACCAGGAGTTCCTGCGTACCAGTCAAGGTTCTGATATGTTTGGAGAAGAGGAAAGGAAAAGCATGCAGGATCAAATTGACAAAGCCCAACAACACTATGATACACTGATTATCCAGCAGCCTACATACAGTGAGTATAAATTGTTTTGTCTTGATTTTGTTTTAATCTAAATCTGAACTTGCGTTCATAAAAGGCATCCTTGTAATAAAACGGTTACTGCAACTTTTAGGAGTATACAATAAGTTTGAAATTTTTGTGTGTAATTGACATCACAATTAGTCATAAAGTTAGAGCTGCCAGAAACAAATATGAACTCTTGCAGACATGCAGATGCTTCTTCTAAATAATTTTGCAATATATTGTTGTAGTTCTTTTCACTTATTTTTCAATGAAATGCAGTTAGATAAAATATTGTTTTTACATTTTTTTTTTACATTATTTTTTTTCATTTTTCCAAAATTTTAATAAAGGAACAAGTAAATAAGCAATTGCACAAGTGAGCACAGACATTGGGTTGTCTTCTTCTTTTAGCTTTTTCCTCTTCAGGGGTCGTCACAGCGAGTTATCCTTCTCCATCTCACTCTGTCCTCTGCATCCTCTGTTCTCACTCCAACTACGTCCATGTCCTCTCTAACTGCATCCATATATCTCCTCTTTCTTTTTTCTGGCAGCTACATTTCTAACATCCTTCTACCAATATACCCACTGTCCCTCCTCTGGACATGTCCAAACCATCTCTGTTTGGTCTCTCTAACTTTATCTCCCAGTTGTTCAACCTGTGCTGTACCTCTGATGATCTCATTCCTAACCTTATACATCCTTGTCACTCCTAAGAAGAACATCAACATCTTTATTTCTGCCTCTTCCAGTTCTTTCTCCTGTCCTTTTGTTAATGCCACTGTCCCCAGACCTTACAACATAGCTGGTCTCACCACTGTCTTGTAAATTTTTCTTTGACCTTTACTGTCACCATTTTGTGGCAAATCGCTCCTGAAAATTTTCTCCATACACTCCATTCTGCCTGAAATTTTTTTAACCTCTTTATCACATTCTCCATTTTCCTGGACCTTGGACCCCAAGTATTTGAAGTCCTGCACCTTTGTGACCTCTGCTCCTTGTAGTCTCACTGTTCCACTTGCCCCCCTCTCATTTAAACGCATACTGTCACTACGGCTTACTTTCATTCCTCTTCTTTCAACGCTGTATGTAAATGTGAATTCTTATCGTAGTTTTCTATTTTTAATAAATGTGCAAAAAAATCTCTTTTTTTTTTTTTTTTACACATTTTCATTATGGGGTATTGTATGTGGAATTTTGAGGAAAGAAATTAATTTAATATAATTTGGAATAAGGCCGTAACATAATAAAATGTGGGAAAAGTGAAGCACTTTGATTATTTCAAGATGGACTGCACTACTCTGCTTCTCCAGATTTCCTCATGAAACATCATAACTCCTCCCTCGGCACACTGTCATATGCTTTTTCTAAATCCACAAAGACACAATAGAGTTCTTTCTGACCCTCTCTGTACTTCTCCATCAGCATCCTCAAAGCAATGATGGCATCTGTGGTGCTCTTTCTTTGCATGAAACCATACTGACAAAAGGTCACCTCATCTAAGTCCATCTTCTACAACTCTCTCCCAGATCTTCATAATGTGACTCATCAACTTAATTCCCCTGTAGTTGCTACACCTCACACACTTCTCCATTCCTCAGGCATTTTCTCACCCTCAAATTTGCCATTGAATATTTGGGTCAAAAACTTCACTACCTTCTCACCCATCCGTCCGTCCGTCCGTCCGTCCGTCCATCCATCCATCCATCCATCCATCCATCCATCCATCCATCCATCCATCCATCAACTTTTATCTGCTTCTTCCATTTTGGGTCATGGGGGTCGCTCGGGCCCATGTCCAGCAATCACTGTGCAAGGGGCGAGGGACACCCTGGACAGGTCGCAAGTCCATCACAGGGCCACATAGAGACAAACGAGACAAACAACCATTCACTCTCTCACTCACATCTTGGTCCCAATCAGCCTAACATGCTTGTTTTTGGTCTGTGGGAGGAAACTGGAGTACCTGGAGAAAACCCACGCATGTACGGAGAGAACATGCTAACTCCACCCAGAAAGGCCCCTGGACCGAGATTTGAACCAGGTACCTGCGTGCTCAGAGGCAGCAGCTCTACCAGTTGCGCCACCGTGCTGCACCTTCTCATCTAGACATGTCCAAACCTCCACTCGTATGCCATCAGGTCCTACTGCCTTTCCTTTCTTCGTTTTTTTCCAGAGTTTTCACCCTCGCTAACCTTTCCCACTTCCTAGTCCACATTTTCTTTGGCCTCTACTCTTCTTTCTCTTTTGTATTCTCTTAGGTCGTTTTCACACCAGATAGTCCGGTAGACTCGGTTCGGTTTGGGACCAATATTCATGACATTTTGTTTACATTTGAGCTGGTGCATTTGCATTCACACTGCACTGTGCAGTCGAGTCAACCTGTTGAACCAACCTATTCCCCTGCTCGCCTGTGGGGGCGCTGCACCAAGAACTACTGAAAGAAACAACACAAAAACCTCTGAAAACAAGTCTACTTCTTCTGGAAATAAAAATAAAAACAAAGTGGCATCAAGTTTTAGCAGTTTTAAGAGTTATATTTTGTCATTTTTCAAAAATGGACTTAGCATGAGCAGAAGATGAGACAGAAGACCATGGAGAATATTGTTTTTCACACAAGGCAGCTGACGGCTCCATATAAGGTCAGAGAAATGCGTGTTTGTTTACCCTGCGGAGCGGGGCTCGGTCTGTTTGCATTCACACTGTACTCGAACCACGCTGGAGTTCTCTTCTACCGGACCGATACCTAGATTTTAGCCCGGGCCAGAGTTCGCCTTTTTGTTCCGTGAGAGAGTTCGATGGCGCGTTCACACCTCCCTAAACGAACCGGACTTTCTAGGAAAACGAGTTAGAGTTCGATTAAAGCGGACTAAACAGGGCTGGTGTGAATGCACCTTTAATTCATTAGTTCCACAAAGTACTCCTTCCATCTTTCCATCACACACTCCTCACTTGTTAAAACATTACCATTCCTATTTTTAACAAGCCTAACCTGCTGCACATCCTTTCCAGCCTGATCCCCCTGTCTCGTCAATCGGTACAAGTTCTTCTCACCCCCTTTAGTGTCCAGCTTCTCATACAACTCATCATACGTCTTCTTTACCTTTGCTACCTCCCTCTTTACTCTGCGTTGGATCTCCTTTATATTCCAGTCTCCTCTCTTCAGTCCTCTCACTGTCATGTTTCTAGATATTAGGTTGTGACACTGCAAATAGAGTTGCAATGATTGAAAGTTCTTTAACTTTTATTTACATATTCTTAAATCTTCCACTAGTGAAAGAGGAAGTAGTTCAAAAGGATGAAGAGGGGAAGACTGAAGCAACAAAAACAAAAATTAGCAACACCCAGACCCCGGTGAGCAGAAGAAAGTCAGCCTCTCAAGCCACCCCCACCTCAGCCACCTCCACCTCGGCCACTTCAACCACCTCTACTTCATCCCCTTCCATCTCAACCAAATCAACCATCAGCCTCACACTGCTCAGCAATCTGCAAGAACTTCGACACCGGCTGGAATTGGCTGAATCTGGCCTAACCAGTCATCTCCACATTCCCCTGGGGGACAACAGTGTACACAAGTGCACTGTGCACATTCAGAAGCTGCAGGTACAAAACATTCCATTTCTACAAGTTTCATTTAAGTGTCTATATAGAGTTGATCACAAAACAACAACAACAGCAGCAGACAATTTCAATAAACTTTTAAAGGCCTGTTAAAATAAAACGGCATGATTTTCTCATTTGTCTAAATGCTATTTAATAATTATTTGCAGGGTGTGCATCAAGATCTGGAGTCAATTCATGATGATTACCTCAGTCTGAGAGAGATGATTACAAAACAGCTAAAGGGGGTGCCTGCAGACTCAGAGCAGGCCAAGTTTCTGCGCTCTGAACTGGAAATCATCAACCAGAAATTGGGAGGCCTGCAGGGTCTCTACTCGGCCTACCTCCAAAGGTCAAGCATTTTAGACCACGTACCTTCTAAAGTTGAAAACTTGATCCACAGAAATTAACAAGTAAAATCAGATTACTGTCTTTGCCTATTGTTCAAATTTAAATTATTTATTTAAAAGAACATTTAACATTAATCGATATTTCAAAAGAATACAGATGTGCCGGAGTTAGCACAATTGTCCTGAGCAAAAAATAAAACTGTTCATACAACAAGTGCAAAACAAAACACATACTATAGCTGATAAAGCAATCCATAAAAACAACAACAACAAACACAAACTAATAATGACTGTGTTTCTATAACAGACTGGCTGCTCTGAAGGCCTTGCTTCAAAGCCTTCTCCAGGCAGAGGATATCATTAAAGTCCATGAAGCTCGTCTAACTGAGAAGGACACCAGCTCTCTGGACCCTCTAGAACTAGAAAATCATCGGAGCACACTCAAGGTTTTAGTCACTATTTAATGATGTTTCCTTCACATTACAATTCTTAGTTTTTGATGATATTTTCAGTGCATCTGACCGGTTAAAGTCTTAAAACTGAATAAATTTTTCTAAATTAGATTTTGATTTCAGCCCTCCACATACAGCTATGTCTTACAAGAATTTCTTTTTGTGTACTTGAACTTTTACTATTTTATGTTTCTTTTTATTTCTAGTATAATTAAATTAATTACAATTCAATTAATCAAAGTATAGTTAAATTTTATAATTCACATTTAATAAATAATTGCTATTTTATTTCCAATTAGAAAGCCTATAGAGCATTATACAGAAATAATAGTTTTAGAAATGTTCAGATTTTTGCTTCCCAGCTTCAGTAATAAACTTCAGTCTATTATTAACAGTAAACTATCCATTGAAGTTCTGCAGTATGATTAGTTATGAGCAGTTTTTGTACATTTGATGTAGTTTAAATCATATAATTTTATTGTTAGATTTACATTCCAATGATGTACAGTATTCTAAAGTTGCGGAGTTGTAATTTGTACATATATAAATTAGATGTTTTTGTCTTTTGCCACTGACAAAAACATAGGAATTATTTTATAAAGGCCATCTGATTTGAGTTTGAGTTTAACTTGTTTTTGTATCACAGTTGACGTTAATGTGGAAACGAATCAGAAAAAAAATTCTGCTTTTGATCAGCTACTCTAATATTATAACTGTCTTGAACACTTTGATAATTAGGCCAACTTTGTGTGGGGAAAAAGGTATGTAGATGTTTGGATGTAACTAAAACAACCTTATTGTGTGATTTTTTTAATTTTTTTATTTTTTTTTATATTAAAGCACATGAAGAACGAACTGGAACAAAGAAGAGACCTGCTGACATCTATGGACTCTGAGCTGGCTAAAGCTTTGCACTTTAACAGTCAGATTTCAGAGCCCTACCACAAGTGTGATGTTGATTTGTCCAAATATTCAGAACTAGTGAACCAGATGGGGGATCGCTGGCGTCGCATCCAAACCCAGATTGATAACAGGTACAGCAGGCTGCTCAGTTAAAATGGGTACGTTGTTGTCATTGCTCGTAAAAACACTAATGCATCCTTCCACCCCTTCCTCTTCCTTTTTCCACCTCAGAATGTGGGACTTGGACAAACAGAAGAATCAGCTGACACAATATCAACAAAACAAAACTTCCCTGGAGCACTGGATAGACAATGCCAGGAAACGCCAGGACACCCTTCAGACGGTTAAAATCAACGATATCCAGTTGTTGATGGATCACCTCAACCAACAAAAGGCACGCCTTTCCATATTTACACAAATCTTTGGTTTTCAGTTAAAACGTGTAAATGTCTTTTCAAATTTTAGATGTACAGGACAGGAATTACAATCACTTAAGAGCTTTAAATAGACCAGAAAGTTAGTTCTATTTTTAGCTGTGAAGTTTTGCCATTATGATTTGTAGAGCAATAAATGTGTAAAGAGTTGCAGAAGGACCATTGTTCTGAAGATAAATTCTAAAATTAATCCATTGTCCATACATCTATCCATTATCGTCTGCTTGTTCCAAAGTCGGGTCGTAGGGGCAGCAGCTTGAGCAGGGAGGCCCAGATATCTCTTTCTACAGCCTCCTCTTCCAGCTCTTCTGTGAGGATTTCAAGGCATTCCCAGGTCAACTGAGATACATAGTCTCTCCAGCGTATCCTGGGTCTTCTGTGGGGTCTCCTCCCAGTTGGACATGCCCAAAGCACCTCACTAGGTAGGCACCATGGGAGCATCCTTACCAGATGCTCGAACCACCTCAACTGGCTCCTGTTGATGTGGAGGTGAAGCGATTCTGCTCAGTCTTTCCCGGACAACTGAACTTCTCACCCGGTCTCTAAGGGAGAGTCCAGCTACCCTGCGGAGGAAACTCATTTCAACTGCCTGTGTCTGCATTCTCATTCTTCGGTCGCTACCCAGAGCTTGTGACCATAAATGAGGCAGAACCTCACCCTTGATCTAAAGAGAGCAATCCACCCTTTTCCAAATGAGGACCGTGTCCTCAGATATGGAGGTGCTGATTCTCATCCGAGCCACTTCACACTCGGCTGTGAACTGCTCCAATGAGAGCTGAAGATCACGGCACAGTGACGCCAACAGGACCACATCATCTGCAAAGAGAAGAGATGGAATCCTAAGGCCACTGATCCATAAAAGTTATGAACAGAATCTGTGACAACGGGCAGCCCTGGCACAGTCCAATTTCCACCCTGAAGGGACTTACTACCGGCAATGCGAACCAAACTCTCGCACCACTTGTATAGGGACTGAACAGTCCATAACAAGGGTCCCCCAATCCCATACTTGTAGAGCACCCACTAAAGTGTACCCCAAGGTACAGACACCTTTAGACTGGATGGGCAAACTCCCATGACTCCTTGAGGACCCTAGTCAGGGTAAAGAGCTGGTCCAGTGTTTCATGGCCAGGACGGAACCCGCATTGTTCCTCCTAGATCTGAGGTATGACCAATGATCGGACTCACTTCTCAAGTGGACCTGAATAGACCTTACCAGGGAGGGTAAGGAGAGTGATGCCCCTGTAATTGAAGCACACCTTCCAGTCCCCATTTTTTAAGAGGGGAACCACCCCAGTCTGCCAATCCAGTGGCACTGCCCCTGATGTCCACGCAATGTTACAAAGGCGTGTCAACCAAGACAGCCCCACAACGTCCAGAGCCTTAAGGAATTCAGGGTGAATCTCATCCACCCCTAGAGCCCTGCCACCACGGAGCTTTTTAACTACTTCGATGACCTCAGCCCCAGTTATGGACAAACCAACTCTGAAGTCCGCCCAACTCAACTTCCTCCATGGAAGACATGCCGGTGAGCCTGAGAAGGTCTGAGAAGTATTCCTTCCACCTCTCGATGACATCACTGATTGAGGTCAACAGCACCCCACCTTCACTGAACACAATGTTAATAAAGAGCTGCTTTCCCCTCCTCAGCCACCTGATAGTTTGCCAGAATCTCTTCACAGCTTACTGAGAGTCTTTATCCAAGGACTTACAAACTCCTCCCACATCTGAGCTTTTGCTTCAGCAACAGCCTAGGCCCTCTCAGCTCCTTCCGGAGTCCCACCAGCCAACAAGGATCAATAGGACTCCTTCAGCTTGACAGCCTCCCTAACCCAGGGTGTCCACCATTGAGTTTGAGGATGGACTCCGCAAGAAGCACCAACAACCTTGCAGCCACAGCTCAATAAATAATGTAATAATAATATGTTATATATCATTGTATGTTCCCATACCATGGCCAATTGGCCTCCTGCTTTTAACCCATTTACCACCAGTTGGAGCATTGGGCAGCTATGGAAAGTGCCCGGGGAGCAACTGGGGATAAGGTGTCCTGCTCAGAGACACCACGAGATGTGCAGTGACCGGGGATCAAACCCATGACCTTCGGGTCCCGAGTCAGCTGCCCTGCCCCTACACCATCTCGGCTCAAGGCAGCCACTTCAACAACTGAGGTGCGGAACATGGCCCACTCTGACTCAATGTCCCCCACCTCAGCTGGGATGCGGGTAAAGCTCTCCCGGAGGTGTGAGTTGAAGATCTTTGTGATGGGTTCTTCTGCCAGGCATTCTTAGCAAACCCTCCCTACACGTTTGGGTTTACCGGGTCTATCTGGCATCTTTCCCCGTCGTCTGACCTAACTCACTACCAGGTGGTGATCCGTTGACAGCTCAGCTCTTCTCTTCGCCCAAGTGTCCAAAACAAAACAGCCGCAAATCAGGTGACACAACTACAAAGTCAATCATTGATCTACGACCTAGGCCGTCCTGGTGCCAAGTGCACTTATGGACATCCTTATGTTTGAACATGTTGCTCATGATGGACAAACTATGACTAGCACAGAAATCCAACAACAGAACACTGTTCAAGTTCAAATCAGAGAGGCTGTTCCTCCCCGTCATGCCCCTCCAGATCATACCGTCATTACCCACGTGGGCATTGAAGTCCTCCAGCAGAATAAAGGAGTCCCCAGCTGGTGCAACTTCCAACACTCCTGTCAAGGACTCCAGAAGGCCGGATATTCTGAACTGCAATTTGGCATATAGGCACAAACAACCCTCAGAGCCCGTCCCCCTACCTGAAGGCGCAGGGAAGGTACCTTCTCATCTACTGGGGAAAACTTCAACACACAGGCACCAAGTTGCGGGGCTAAGAGTAGACCCACACCAGCATGGCGCCTCTCACCATGGGCAATTTCAGAGTGGAATAAGGTCCAGCCCCTCTCAAGGAGAATGGTTCCAGAGTCCATGCTGTGCATCAATGTGAGCCCAACTATATCTAGTTGGTACCTTTCAACCTCACACACAAGCTTAGGCACCTTCCCTGCCAGAGGGGTCACATTCCATGTCCCAAGAGCCAGCTTTGGTAAGCCAGGGTCAGAGCGCCAAGGCCCCTACCTTCGGTCACTGCCCCAGTACATAGCCCCATGCACCCAACTCATATGGCCCCTCCTGCAGGTGGTGAGCCCACAGGAAGGCAAACTCATGTTACTCATTCGGGCTGAGCCCGACCAGGTCCCATGGGTAGAGACTCGGTCACCAGGCGCTTGCTGACCAGCCCCTTCCCAAGGTCTGGTTCTAGGGTAGAGCCCTGGTAATCCATGCCCAGGCAAGGGACACCTTGTTTTGTCCTGTCCATAAGTCTTCTGAATCGCTCTTTGTCTGGCCTAGTCACCTAGAACCAATCTGCCTTGGGAGACCCTATCAAGGACAATTACTGGAGAGGATAGCTCCTAGGATCATTCAGGCACACAAACTCCACTAATATAAGGTGGCGATTCAAGGAGGAGTCTAAAATTAATGGTAGAAAATATTCTTGTTGAAAGAAAGTTTATAATACTATCAGTTCTCACAAACGCTTTCTTTTTAAACAGGCTCTTAACAATGAAATTAAAGGCAAGAAAGAGAAAGTGGATACTGTGCAGAAAAATGCAGACACATGTGCTGCCTCTATAAAGGTAGGTACACTGTTTTTAGTCAACTTGAAAAAGTTATGTATTATGTTAACATATGTCAAGTACAAAGCAAATGATACTGTGTTTGGTGTTTTCAGGACTATGAACTGCAGCTTGCATCCTACAGTTCAGGACTGGAAACTCTTCTAAATATTCCCATTAAGAAAACTGTGCTGCAGTCTCCTGCTACAGTGGTCAGAAATGAGGTATTGGTTAAGACCTTTCTTTAAATAATCCTGTTTTTTTTTTTCATGAATAGTTACAAGTGTACTTATCTTAGTTATGATTTGCATGTTACATTTAAAAGGAATTTCAGTTCATTTTGCTTTGGGAGTTTATAACACTATGATCAGACCATTTATCACAAGAGTCTCTTAATAATATTTGTGCAATATCAACATTTGACCAGTCAACAACTGTATTTACTTACCTATTTTAACTCTCATCAGGCTGCTGATGTCCAGGCCCATTATATAGAGCTACTTACCCGCTCTAGTGACTACTATAAATTCCTGGGGGAGCTGATGAAGAACATGGAGGAATTGAAGGTTGGCACTCAATTTGTATGCAAACCATTTATAGCTTTTTTTTTTTTTACATATACTAATGTTAATAAAAGAAACATTTTACATGAAAAAAGCTGTTTCTGATATTTAAAAATTGGTCTCTGAGCTAATTTTGTTGCTGATCTTTTTCTCAGTTAAGAAACACCAGGATTGAGATGCTTGAAGAAGAATTAAGGCGCCTAAAGGATGACCTCCAAGATCGAAATCAGAAAAATAAGTCTCTGGAAGATGCTTTGGCCCGCTACAAGTTAGAGCTCAATCAGTCAAAAGATGAACTCATTACTTTGGAGGAGGTAAAGAGAACCACAACAATGCAAGTTAATGTTGCCAAGGAGAACCTGGGAACCACACAAAGTCAGATTCAAGATCTCAATGACCAGCTCACCCGCATTAAATACCAGCTGGAGGAGGAAAACAGGAAAAGAAGGCTTGCAGAAGAGCGCTATAACAGTCAGCAAGAAGAGTATGAGGCAGCTGTTCGCCGCAGACAGAAAGAACTAGAGGAGGTAAACTGGGTGAAGATAGACTTAGAGAAAGTTGTAAAGGACAAGGAACGAGAAATTGAGAGGCTGAAGCTACAGCTAGAAGAGGAAGCAACACGCCGAAGAAATGCAGAGTCAGATATCTCAAAGGTAAGAACACAGTGCACCCAGGAGATCAGTCAGCTTAAACAGACATACGAGACAGAGATCCACGTTACCAAGACCACCATTCTGAAAGCATCACAACAGAAAGAGGAAGATACAGCAGGTCTGAGGCTGCAAGTTGACAAACTCACTGATGAGAAGAGGGAACTAGAGGAGGAACTCAGGAGACTGAGACAGTCCGTTGCTCATATTGAAGGGCAGAAAAATAAGGCAGAACAGGAAGTTAGCCAGCAGAGGGCCACAGTGACCAAGGAGACGAGGACTCGCAGTGAGCTGGAGGTACAGCTAAGGACATTGAAGCAGCAGAGGGAGGACAATGATCTGCAATTGAAGGAGGTCAACAAAAATAATCAGGACAAGTCTAGACAGATCAGCCTGCTAACATTTAACCTGGAAGAAGAGGGAAAGAAGAGAAGAGCACTAGAATTGGAAGTCAATCACTTGAAACAAGCTGAAGCTGAGCTGAAGTTCATTCATTCAACCTTTATTTATACAGGTTAATTCCACTGAGCCTCAGGGACTCATTTACAAAAGAGACCTGATTCTAACAGAGTGTTGACAACAGTGGACAATAAAGACAACAATAGACAATCATAAAAGAATGCATACAAATTGAGAATAACAAGTGAAAATAAAATGGTATTAAAAAGAATGTAACAAAAATCTGCTAGCTGGTAAGACAATGTAGAAAACTAAAAACAAGAACATGTCTGCGTTGGCTTTTGCCAGGAACTTAGCAGATGTTTGAAGCCACTTAGAGAGGTCAAGGTTGAGAGCTTCAGATCTTTTTGCAAGATATTCCCAGAAACGGGAGTGGAGTAGAAGGCCCTTTTGCCTGGTTCAGTCCGCACTGAGGGAACACTGCAGGTAATAATGTCCTGAGGGTGCACACTGTAGCTTCACTCACACAGAGACATGTAGGAGGAGATGTATGAAGGCAGCAGACCAAGAAGTGATTTAAAGATAAAAATGTACCAGTGAGAGACTTTGTGTGAAGTTAATGATGTCCAGTTAGCCAGAGAATACAGAGTGCAGTGATGGGTACAGTAGTCACAGCCAGTTATGAATCTTAGCACACTGTGATAGGCAGCATCCAATATCTGCAAGGTGCTTGCAGGAGCATTCATAAATAATGTCACCATAGTCAAAGTTAAAGAACACTTCCTATCTTGAAACAATTAACAAACCTTAAGTGATTGAGCAGGAGATTTGTGTACCTGTTGCAGCTGGAAAAGCAGACAAGTGAAATAAAAAAAATAAAAAAAAAACAATGTTGAGCAGAGTTCTGCCAGGCTTCAGAGCTGTATAAGGGAACTCCAATGCTCTCTGGATGGCAATGGCATGGATCAATAGAGAAACTGCCTGTCAGATTTCAGCCTTGCATGCCCAATTTCAGAGTAGTACCAAGAGGAAGACACAGATTCTCCTCAGTGACCTGGCCAAGAAGAGAGAAAAGCTTAAAATGTAGATATGATTATTCCGAAAGCAGTCTATTGAGGTATTTTCAATCACACTAAAGGATAATGTACTTGTATTACAAATTAATCATATGACCATTGTTGTCAACGTGTTTGTATGCATCTACGGCAGTTATGAACACAGTTTCCTTTTAATGGACCACTGCATTCGTTTATCCAAATTTCCTCTTATATATACATGCCTTTCACTCTTTCAATAATGTCAAATAACTACTTAAAAAAAATGTACCAGTGTGCGAGTCTATGGGTAGATAATGATGACCAACTGACCATTGTGTACTGAGTGCAGTGATGGGTATGGTAGTTACAACCAGTTATGAATCTTATTGCATTGTGATAGATGACATCCAACATCTGCAAGCAGCTGGCAGTGGCATTCATGTAAATAATGTCACCATAGTCAGTGGCTGGTAGGAAAGTAGCAGTTACAAGGCATTTTAAATTTAAAGACTGCTGAGACTGTTGAGACTTTTAAGTCTTTGCTCGACTCATGTTTTCTTTGGCATTTGATCCATGCAGAGTCTGAGAACAAGTTAAAGCTGATTTTGATTGTTGTTGTGTGTTGTATTTTATTGTTAGCTTTATGTTTTTTTAGTGGCACAAAATATATATTTTTTACTTTGTATTTTTTATTATTTTTAATCTGACTTATATGTGAAGCACTTTGGTCAGCGTTTGGTTTTTAAGTGCTATAGAAATAAATTGACACTGACATTTCCTGGCATTCCGAGTTAAGCAAGATCTATTTCTGAAAAAGAAACCCAGTTTTAATTTCAGTTTGTCAAGTTTTCGATCTGTGATTTAAAAGAGAGATGTGCATCAACTAAAATTCCCAAGTATTTGTAAGAACCTACAAACTCAAGAGGAACACCATGCATTCATAAGATAGGAGGAAGAGTCGCTGGCACTGACTTTCTGTTGGAAAACAACATCCATTTGGTTTTGTCAGCATTTAGCACCAGTTTGAGGTGGAATAAGTCTGTCTGAATGATGTCAAATGCAGACTGTAAAAGCTAGAAAACCTTGGCAACTGTTGTCAGCATAGAGATGCAACGATGCGTCAGGAATATTTTGACCTACATTATTTATATTAATTGTAAAAAGAGAGGGGCTTAAAACTGAGCCTTGTGGCACACCATTACTGACAGTTGGGAAGCTAGATGAAGTACCGTTATGCCAACCACATTGCCTCCGACCTGAGAGATAGTTTGAGAATCAACCAACATGATCTGATAATCCAATATCTGAGAGCTTGTGGCATAAGATATCATGATCTACAGTATCAAAGGCTTTGGACGGATCTAAATAAAGTGCAGCACAGTAATCCTTAGTGTCCAAAGCTTCAACAGCATCATTAAAAACCTTTAGCAAAGCAGTCGTTGTGCTATGTTGTTTTCTGAAGCCAGATTGTAGGGGCGATAAAATGTTGAGTCCCAATACTTCTTGACTTGAGTATTTATCAGTTTTTCTAAAACCTTAGCTAAAATACAGAGTTTGGAGATTGGTCGATAATTTTTCAGTATAGTGTGGTCTGCTCCCTTCAATAATGGTAGCACAAAACCTGTTTTCCAAGCATCTGGGACAGTATTCAGAATCAGAATAAACTTTATTGGCATTGCACATAGATACGAGAATATGTACGTACAGTCGTCCGAAAGATGGGCAGAGTGCACGAAGCTGCAACTATAAAAAGCGCGGCCTTCATTATTCTTATTCAGAATAATATTTTGCTTAGATGAGAAAAGGGAAGAAAACATGAGGAGAGACGGTATTAAAAAAAAAAGATCTGTCACGCTGTGTCCTAGACAGGGCACGATTTGAGGCATAAAAAAAAAAAACCTACCAAAGCAAAGCAACATAAATAGACGTTGTACATGTACATATAGGCCGGTGAAGACATTGAAATTTTAAGGGAAAGTCGTAGCATAGTCCAGAGCCCCCCCCTCTCAGCCATTGTCCAGATAAGAGGTGACATTCATCATCACCTCAGTTGAGGTTCTGTTACATGTTCACGGCTTTGGGGAAGGGAGGGGTGAGGAAACAGTCAAAGCATCTTGTTGTTTTCAAAACATGCCAGGAGGAGTTGAGATAAGTCCGGCATCAAGACCACAGTTTGGGTCAGGCAGAACTCGTGAAACAGTTATCAGTTCTGCTATAAGTTGTGCAGCTAGACTTAAGAAGTAAGGAGGGAGATCATCAGGGCCTGCACATTTTCTAGTATAAAGATCCTTTTAACAGTTTAGTAACCTCACTGACAGAGAACGGTGAAAAAAAGAATGTTTGGTTTACAGATGTTTGACTTGTTGGTGGAGTAGGTGAATTACCTTAAACTGTATCAAACTGGGAACTGGAAGCAACAAAATGTTTCTTGAAACAATTTAGCATCTCATGTTTATCTGACACAGGAGCAGAGTCGACAAATAATTGTGGTGGCAGATCAGAAGAGTGATTGCTGCCATCAAGAGATTTAATAGTTTTCCAGAAGCTCTTAGGATCATTGACATTTTTGGAGGTCTGAGATAAATGGTAATTTTGTTTTGCAGCTTTAATGGAAGCTGTGCAGTGATTCCATAATTAAAGAAATTGCAACCAATGGGTGTCTGAACCAGACTGCCTTGCTGTTGTCCAAAGCTGGTCCCTCCTTTGCAAGAGGTAGAGCTGCATTCGGGCCTAAACAATTCGACCCAGCCCGGCCCAAACCCGTATCGTTTTTTCCGAGCCCGACCCAAAACCGACCAATTAACTGTGATTACAGGTCCCCCCCCCCCCCCCCCCCCCCACCAAAAAAAAATATATATTTTTAAAGCTTTTACTGCTTTTGTAAGCAAATCTATTTGACATGATTTAAAAATGTATTTCAAAGAAGGGAAGATGTAAGATTTTTTGTTTATTAACAAGAGTCAGATGATTATTATAGTTATTATAATATTATAGTTATTAACGGTCAGCAGACACGTGCGACTGATGATCCAAATTGGGTCGTTGGCCACGTGTGTCCACTGACGCAGCGGCTGAGTCCACTTAAGCTTCAGGTGGGTTGCTGGCAGTGAGCCATCTGGACTTTTTTTTTTTTTTTTTTTAACCTCTTTCAACCAGCCAGGCTTGGCCGCTCACGTCCGCTGACACGGCGGCTGTGTCCAGTTAAGCTTCAGGTGGGTCGCTGGCAGTGAGCCATCTGAACATTTTTTTTACCTCTTTCAACCGGCTGGTCGGCGCACGGTCAAACAGCCGCACGTGGCTGGTGATCCAAATTGGATAGTCAGCCACGCGCATCCGCTGATGCAATCAAAAGCCCAACACCAATCTGGCCCACCCATCCAGCACATTATTTTGGGGCTCAAATTTTGGTCCGGGCCGGGCCTGGCGTGGGCCCTGGTTAGAAATGACAGCTTTAGCAAGAGGTATGCTAACTCAGAAGTAAACCAGGGGCTATCTCGGCCCTTAATTCTGAACTGGCAAAATGGAGCTTGTTTGTTTAAAAAAATGAATTAAACTATTATGAAAATAGTTCCAATAGTTCACATTGTCAATTAATATGCGATGCCAGTTAAAGTGGAACAGATCTCAAAGAAAGGCTTGTTCACAAAAAATGCTTCGTATTCAATTTTAGATTCATTCTAGGTTTGAAACAAGGCATTGTTGTATCTCTAACTGCAGCAACTACACAGTGATTGTTTAGATCATTTGTAAAAACACCAAACCCAGTCTATTTATGTGGCATGTTTGTGACAAGATCTAGAAGAGATGATTTGGCGGGGCACTTTGGATTAGGCCAAGTGGGACTATCAATGATATGACTAAGGTTTGAAGACAAACAAAATTCTTTAAATTCCCCAGACACTGGATATATGTTATGATAAGATGTGTTTATAAAGACATGGTTATTTAGAACCCTGTAGCAGTGAAGTTGGTATGGATGGACAAGTTCAGATGCACCAACATGGTTTGACCATCCAGAATGTCCAGAATGGATGGTCTGCTCCAGAACCATGCACATCAGGGGACACATGGAGCACAGAACCAAAGGGCATTGGACCCTCACTAGCCAGTAGGATTGGTTCACCTTGAGCCTGACTATGACCTAGTTCGTGTGGCTCAGGTGGATCGGCACAGTGGCCCGGCTGCACAGGATGTCGGCTCAGCTGCTGGACAACAGCGGGTGTGCAAAGAGGTAGAAAAACAAGCCTGTACTGCAGCCACATGATCATCATCAACAACAAGCCACTGAAGAATTTGCCCGTCACCATTGTAGAAGAGGGGGTGGGGGGATGATGAAAAATTTAATCCAATTCAATTCAGGGACTGGAGGGGTGGGGGCAGCGACGACTGCCACAGTACCTCACTCGCAGATCAAGCAATCCGAGTTGTGATGCCTCAATCTAATTCCTCTCATGCACTTAAAGACAAGTCCAGAAAAAGCTTGTTGTGTGATGAAGCACACGAAAGCCACAAAAGTCAGGAACAAAACAATGAATTCAATAGCACAGCAAAAAATAATGCACTAGCTCAAATCAATGAATGTTGCACACTAACATGAAGGAATATATATACAAAAAAGGTTGGACAAATAACTACACTATCTTCATGTTTAAATTGTAATGTGTAAACAACAATTTCTCATCCCTTGCTAACAATCACATCAATGAATGCTTCATACCAACGTGAAAAAATGTGAACAGAAACGTAAAAACAAATGCAGGACTCCATTTTCATGTGTAAATATTCTATGCACATCAAGGTATTCTATATATTTCAATGCTCTGTTCTCTTATTTTTCCACAGACCTCAATGATGTTACATGAGTCCAAAAGTCAATACAATGATCTGCTGCTTCAGAGAGATAGTTTGCAATCCAAGCTGAAACTGATGGAGCAGGACAAGAACCATCTACAGCGATTAGAAGAGGAGCTGGCTCGCATCGAGCTCAGTCTAGAAACTGAGACTCGCAGCAAACAGAGACTTTGGGATGAAAAAAATGCACTAGCTCAAGAGATCAATTCTATGAAGAGTCATTATGAGCTTAAAGAAGCTCAAATTAGACAGTGTGAATCAGACAGAAACCAGGCTGATCAAGAGAGACTGTCCTTGAAGAATGAGATTGAGAGGTTGATAAAGGAGCTGAAAAGTATTGAGGAGAGGTACAAGAGCCGTCTCTTAAGCTCAGAACAGGAGGTATCTGAATTGGCTATGAAGAGAGACTCACTGGAGAAAGAAATGCAGAGACTGAAGCGGAGACCTTCTACCTTGTGCAGGCAGACCCAGACCGATGAGAAGGTCTCAACAATTGATCCATCAAAACTTGTATTTGATGGAGTTCGCCACAAGGTCACAGCTCACCAGCTTTGTGATTGTGGTATAATCAGTAAAACTACTCTTGATGATCTCCTCAAAGGAAAAAAGACTGTGGATGAAGTAGCAGTGGATATCCAAGTTAGCCTGAAGGGTACTGGCATTATTGCTGGAATGACATCTTCTCAAGGGATAATGCCATTCACTGAAGCCAAACACAAAAATCTCCTCAGCCCAGAGAGTGCAATTCTGCTCCTGGAAGCTCAAGCAGCAACAGGCTACATAATGGACCCTGCATTCAATGACAGGATGCCTGTAGATACAGCCTGTTCCAGAGGGATTGTGGACACAGAAGATAGAGATGTCTTGTTGACAGCTGAAGCTGCTAGCATAGGTTTCAAAGAACCATACACAGGCAAGGTGTTGTCTGTGGGACAAGCCTACAAACATGGCCATGTAAACAAAGAAACAGCCATTCGCTTGCTTCAGGCTCAGGAATCTGTTGGAGGCATATTGGACCCAGTTCTGAGTGTGTTCCTTCCAAAAGATCTGGCCTTGGACCGCAATCTTATAGATGAGGATCTTTACAGAGCATTGAATAAAAAAACAACCTGCTACCTAGATCCAACAACAGGAGAGAAGATAACTTACTCTGATCTTAGAAGGAAGTGTACAGTTGAGCCTGTGTCTGGTTTGCTTCTGCTCCGTGGTCCAGAAAAGTCCATGACAGTGAAAGGTATTCGTGGTGAAGTTTCTGTCTCAGAGCTTGTTAAGGCTGAACTTTTAGACGAAACTGACCTGCTAAGGCTCAACCAAGGAAAAATCTCATGCAAAGACATTGAAGACAAGCTAAAGCCTTATCTCTTTGGCTCAACTTGTATTGCAGGAATCTATGATGAGGCCAATGACAGAATAATGCCTTTCTACAAAGCAATGCAGGAAGGTCTGCTGATGAGAGGAACAACCCTGGAGCTTCTTGAGGCTCAAGCTTCATCTGGTTTCATTGTTGATCCAGTTAACAATGTTTTCTTGACAGTTGAAGAAGCCACAAAAAGAGGTCTTGTGGGAAAGGAGTTTAAGAATAAGTTGCTGTCTGCAGAAAAGGCAGTAATTGGCTATAAAGACCCATCTACAGGGAAGATCATCTCCCTCTTCCAGGCTATTGAAAAAGAGCTCATTGAGAAAGGCCATGGAATCCGGTTGCTTGAGGCTCAGATTGCCAGTGGTGGAATCATTGACCCACTTGAGAGCCACCGTATTGATGTTTCTGTTGCCTACAAAAGAGGATATTTTAATGAGGAAATGAATGAGATCTTAAGCTATGAAGGAGATGACTCTAAAGGGTTCTTTGATCCTAATACAAAAGAGAATTTAACTTATCTGCAACTGAAGAAAAGATGTATCACAGATTCTAAAACAGGACTAATACTCCTGCCACTCAAAGACAAGAATAAGTCCCAAAAGTCACAGGAGAGCCGTACCAATGTCCTCCGCAAAAGGCGTGTTGTAATTGTTGACCCAGACACAGGACTTGAGATGTCAGTTAGGGAGGCTTATCACAAACAGCTAATTGACTATGAAACTTTCCTGGACTTGTCAGAGCAGGAGTGTGAGTGGGAAGAAATCACTATCAAGGGGTCAGATGGTTCTTCACGTTTAGTGATTGTAGATCGAAAAACTGGAACCCAGTATGATATTCAAGACTGCCTGGACAAAAGAATTATTGATCAAAAGTCTCTTGATAAGTACCGTGCTGGAACATTAACCTTGACAGAGCTTGCTGACCAAATAACCAGCAGAACTAGCAGTAGCGAGATGACCATTGCAGCTAGTAATGTTGTTGACATGGTCACCTGCAGCAGCCCCACTCAAGCTATGCAATCTTCTCCTATTGTTCGTAAACGCTTCAACAGCATCTCTATTACAGTCTCCTCCCCAGGAATGTTTGATGATCAGAGCCCTGTGGCGGCCATATTTGACACAGAGACCTTGGAAAAAATAACTGTTTCTGAGGGGCTCAGAAGAGGCATAATTGACACTATTACAGCTCAAAGGTTGCTGGAGGCCCAGGCTTGCACAGGTGGCATTATCAACCCTGCTACTGGTGATCGACTGTCGCTTGAAGATGCTGTCCATCAGAGCGTTATTGATGAAAGCATGGCTACTAAGCTGAAGCCTGCTCAGAAAGCTTACAATGGTTTTGAAGATTTGAAAACAAAAAGGAAGCTTTCTGCAGCTGAGGCAGTAAAGGAGACATGGCTACCATATGAGGCTGGCCAGAGGTTTCTGGAGTTTCAGTACCTTACAGGAGGCCTAATAGAGCCTAGCAATGGACGACGCGTCACTATTCAAGAGGCTATCCGAAAAGGATGGCTTGATGGGCAAGGTGCGCAGAAGCTGCAGGATACGCAAAACCATAAGAAAAACTTGACCTGTCCCAAGACCAAACTAAAGATCTCGTACAAAGAAGCCATGGATAGCAGCATGGTGGAAGAAAGCAATGGTATGAAGATGTTGCAAGCATCCTCCATATCCAGCAAGGGGATAAGCAGCCCTTACAATGTCTCAAACCCAGGGTCTCGCTCTGGCTCCAGAGCTGGTTCC